AGCAGTGGAGAGAAGACTGACAAACGGCTACGCAGACACCAAGGTTGGTGAAGATGGAGCAGGAGGAGGTGTGCCAGAGCTGGGATTCCCCTGCAGCCCGTGGTAAAACAGCAGGCGGCCCCCCTGCACCTCATGAGAGAAATGGTGGAGCAGAGACTCACCCGCAGCCCATGTAGGACCCCACGCTGGAGCAGGTGGCTGCACCATAAGAAGCTGTGACTCTGTGGGAAAAGCCCACGCTGGAGCAGTCTGATGGGTAAGGACTCACATTGGAGAAGTTTGTGGAGAACTGTCTCCTGTGGGAAGGGACCCCGTGTTGGAAGAGGAAGAGAATGTGGAGAGTCCTCTCCATGAAGAGGAAGGAGCAGCAGAAACAGTATGTGATGAACTGACCTGCAACCCCCATTCGCTGTCCCCCTGTGAGGACACGGTAGAGCCAGGAAGAAGTGAAGGGTGGGAGACCTTTTTTTTTTTAAAAAAACCCATCTGGCTTGTTCCTCATTATCCTCTCTGAATGCGATTGGTAATGGACTAAATTGACTTTGTCCCCAAGTAAAGTGTGTTTTGCCTGTGGCCATGGTTGGTGGGTAATGCTCCCCTGTTCCTATCTCAACCCTCCAGCCTTTATTATGTTTTTTCCTCTCCACCCCATCAGCGGGAAGGGGGAGGAGTGAGTGAGCAGCTGTATGATGCTTAGTTGCCACCTGAGGCTAAACCATGACACAAATCTTTTGGGTTTTTTTCACAACTCTGCTATCCTTAAAGGTGGAAAAGACACCAGGAACTACAAGCAGGCCTGAAAGGAAAAGTGCAACTGCAAAGATAACCTCCTTGAAAAGCAGATATATGCCTGAGACAGACCTAGGATTTACACATTGCATCTAGTTGCTTTGTTAAAAAAAACATCCAGAATCTTTACATTTTCCTCAAAGTTTTGCAAACGTGAGGCCTGGCTGCACTTGGGAGCAGAAGGTTCAGAAAATAAGGCATCCATGCCCCTGATGTCATTGTGTCAACAGATCTGGCTACCACCTCACATTAAGCCACTTACCATAATGGATCTGTGGATCTTACCAGAAAGAAAACAAATATTCCAAACATAAAATTAAACACAAACCCCACCTATACATGAGTGACCATTCTGATTTACAGAATTATACTCCAATGCTAAACTTGACTCAAAACAGAGGAAGAAGTGTAAAGCTTCATTATGAAACTCTCCATATATGTACACAGATATATCAAAAAAGCCTTTACTTATATTTTAAAATATAGCCTCATCTCCCCACTGTTCAGAAAAATTTTAGTTCCAAAACCCCTTAACTACAAATCTTAGACCATCCTATACAAACAATGCAATGGACGGTTTGTTGTTTGTTTTTTTTTTTTTAAATAAATACAGAGAAGTTACATCAGTAACCCTTTCCAGCAGGTCACTCAGATACCGTAACAACACCAAGAAGTGACTGCTGAGTAAATGGAGGGAGAAAATGATTAATTAATGGAACGTAATAAGCTGGACTCTCTCCCAGTCCTCTCAGACTGTGCAGACTCATCAGAATAAAGTCCGGTATTAAACCAGACAGATACCTTAAATCATGAGAACGTAAAAAGGCAGAGGAGGGAACAAGAAGAGTCTACCATACAAAAAAAAGCAGCAGAAATCAGGTTTTACCTCTGGAATCCAGAGAGCACAGCTCACATGTGCCCACTTGGTCCCTGTCCTGGTAGCCTTCATGGCACCCCCTCTTTTAGGACACAGGAGGCACTGAGGATGTATTCCCAGGACGCAGGTGCGACACAGCCAGCTCCCTTCAGGTACTTTTAAGATTCCATAACATGCCTTGGAGGAAAACAGATATCGAGGTCATTGCAGTGATATTATTTCACACACAAGCATTAATATTCACACAGAGCAAAGTATAGTATTTCAAATAGTAAAGGTACGGTTTGGCCTTCACTTAATCCTTCTCTAATTTCTTTACTTTAAAATGAGCCAAGTGATCAAAGAGAAAAACAATCTCTAAAGCAGTCCTTTTATGCCAGTTTCTTTTTAAAATGTGTGCTGGTATTATTTGTTTATAGTGTAAAACATACTCATTGTGACTGCACAACACCATGGGTGTTAAGAACCTTTGTCTTTGCTTTTAGTGACTTTTACACTTCTGAAGCAAAAAAAGGTAGAGTTTTTAAAAATTAGCTTCTGCATCTAATCCTTTTTAAAAATCACAATTTCCTACCACTAATAACTTTACACTCTAACATAATTCTATTTAGATGTGAAGGGATATGAACAGTTTGACTGAAGACTGTTTCCTGCATCATTAAATTACCTTTGTGGTTACAGTTCTGTGAATTGTTTGTTACTTTAAATATTTATATAATATTGCAACAAAAATTACAGCATATACTGAAATTACGAGATGCTGGGGTTTATGCCTGTTTCCTGAGTATTGCACTGAACTTCTTGGAAAACGAGAAACTCTTAAGTTTTGCTAGGTTTGAGAATCAAAATAAAAAAGGAAAAAGAAAAGAAAAAAATTAGTCTGCTTTCCGATTCAAATTCCTAGCAGTCCTTAACGGCTAACTACACATGTATCTAGATATATCCTGCTGTGCATACACACATGTGTATTAGGCTGAGTATCTGACACCACTGGCTGCCACGAAGGTCTAATTCCACTTCACTGCTCCAAACAAAAGCTTTATCAAACGGGTGGCTTTCAGGGGAAACGCCACCATTCCTAACACTGTCTCTAGGAACAGTAACATTGAAAGCCTCCACAGAACAGGATCATTAGCTGTAAACAGTCTCTCAGGTTCAAATCTAGTATAAATTACCTGTGCTTGCCTTCCCAGCCTTCTGATAGTAAGATCTCAGTATTTAATGCAAAGTGACATCATACAACATTGCACATTTATGTCAGGCACATTTATGGAGAGCGAGACTTTCCTGAATTAAATCCTGCATTATGGAAATGCTGAGACTAACCTAAATGCTATTTCGATGTGATGGCTGTTGTAAAAACCCAACAGGGGGAGCTGTAATCCAAATTTTACAAGTGATTTTTTTTTTTTTTCTGATGTGGCACATTCCCACCAGCTTGCTTTCTATTACTAAAGCAGAAGTGGCATTACACCCAAGATCACATTTAGGGAGTTGGAAATGGACTGAAACTATTTTCTAATTTAATCCAACTAACAAGCGGAGAAGGCCTAGACTACTAAATCAGTAATTTCACAATGTGTTTGAGCCAGCACGAGAGGGCACCGTGAAGGAGGAAATCTCTCACACTTCTCCTCACTCCCACCTCCAAACTGTGCGATGACAAACAGACCTGAGGCTACTTGGTGAACTAGGGCCAATACAGATTAAAAATAATTTTTTTGTTTTTTGGTTGTTGTTTTGTTGTTAGGATTTAATTCTAGCTCAGACATGCTCCCCAGTTTATTTGGAGCAGATCTGGCATGGGGAAGGGTCAGGAGCAAGGAGGCAGCAGGCCATCAGCTCAAGTTCAGTTGTCAGCAGGTAATCAGGAGCCTCTGACTGCAAATTCAAATACAAAAAGGAAGCCTACAGGAGGTGGAAGCAGGGCCAGGTGGCCTGGGAGGAATACAGAGAAATTGTCCGAGCAATCAGGGGTCACATTAGGAAAGCTAAAACCCTGATAGAATTAGATCTGTGCAGGGACATCGAGGGCAACAGGAAAAGCTTCTAAAGGGATGTCAGTGATAAAAGGAAAACTAGGGAAAATGTGGGCTCTCTCCAGAAGGAAATGGAACACCTGATTACCCATGATATGGAGAAGGCTGAGGTACCCAATGACTTCTTTACCTCAGTCTTCACTGACAAATGCTCTAGTTGCACTGCCCAAGTTGCGAAAGGCCACAATAGGGACTGGAAGAATGAAGAATCACCCACCGTGTAAGGTTCGAGACCTTCTAAGGAACCTGAAGGTGCACAAGTCCATGGGACCTGATGAGATGCAACCACAGGTCCTGTGGGAACTGACAGATGAAGTTGCTAAGCCACTGTCCATTATATTTGAGAAGTCATGTCAGTCCAGTGAATTTCCCACTGACTGGAAAAGGGGAAACATAGCCCTCATCTCTAAAAAGTGAAAAAAAGAAGACCCAGGGAACTACGGGCCAGTCAGTCTCACCTCTGTGCCTGGCAAGATCATGGCACAGATCCTTCTGTCAACTATGCTAAGGCACACATGGAAAAAATAAAGGTGGAACATAGCTTCACTAAGGGTAAAATGTGCCTGATAAAGATGGTGGCCCTTTATGATGGGATTACAGCATTGGTGGACAAGGGAAGAGCAACTGACATCGTCTACCTGGACTTGTCTAAAGCATTTGACACTGTCCCGCACAATATCCTTGTCTCTAAATTAGAGAGACATAGATTCAATGGATGGATCACTTGGTGGATAAGGAATTGGCTGGATGATCACACTCAAAAGAATTGCAGTCAACAGTGCAATGTCCAAGGGGAGGCCAGTGACAAGTGGTGTTCCTCAGGGGTCAGTACTGGGACCAACGCTGTTTAACGACTTTGTTGGCAACATGGACAGTGGGATCGAGTGCACCCTCAGCAAGTTTGCTGACAACACCAAGCTGTGTGGTGTTGTGGACACGCTGGAGGGAAGGGATGCCATCCAGAGGGACCTTGACAGGCTAGAGAGGTGGGCCTGTGAGAACCTCATGAAGTTCAACAAGGCCAAGTGCAAGGTCCTGCACGTGGGTCGGGGCAATCCCAAGCACAAGTACAGGCTGGGGGGAGAATGGATTGCGAGCAGCCCTGAGGAAAAGGACTTGGGAGTGCTGGTGGATGAGAAGCTCAACATGAGCCAGTAATGTGTGCTGTCAGCCCAGAAAGCCAATTGTACCCTGGGCTGCATCCAAAGAAGCGTGACCAGCAGGTCGAGGGAAGTGATTCTGCCCCTCTAACTCTGCTCTCATGAGACCCTGTCTGGAATACTGCATTCAGCTCTGGAGTCCCCAACACAAGAAGGACATGGAGCTGCTGGAGCGAGTCCAGAGGAGGGCCACGAAGATGATCCAGGGGCTGGAGCACCTCTGCTATGAAGACAGGCTGAGAGAGTTGGGGTTGTTCAGCCTGGAGAAGAGAAGACTGCAGGGAGATCTTCTAGCAACCTTCCAGCACCTAAAGGGGGCCTACAGGAAAGCTGGAGAGGGACTTTTTCCAAGGGCGTGTAGTGATAGGACAAGGGGCAATGGCTTTAAACTGAAAGAGAGTAGATTTCAATTACATCTAAAGAAGAAATTCTTCGCCCAGAGTGGTGAAGCACTGGCGTAGGTTTGCCCAGAGAAGATGTGGCTGCCGCATTCCTGGAAGTGTTCAACACCAGGTTAGATGGGGCTTTGAGCAACTTGGTGTAGAGGAGGGTGTCCCTGCCCATGGCAGAGGGGCTGAAACTAGATGATCTTTAAGGTCTCTTTCAATCCAAACCCTTCTACGATTCTATGAAATTCATCGTTACTTTTGAACGGGCACCAGCAGAGGCTGAAGCACGCAGCCCAGCTGCTGGCTGTATTCCTGTCACTGGCCGTGTTACCAGCACTCAGGCTCACGTGGCTGCTTCACGCTGTGAATCAGATCAGGAAAGTGGCCGGGCTGGAGGCCAGCCCACTGTGAGCAAAGAGATGACAAGTCCTTTTTCACCAATATACATTTTCTGAGTATTACTTCCAGTCGGTACAAAAATACATCTTAAGAAAACCTTTTTAGCCTCTAGCCTCTTTTCATTTTATAGCAAAATCCCCTTTCAGAACAGGACGCACAGGAACCACAGGATTCATATCCCTTTTTTGATTATAAGGATACCTCTGCCTGACTACACACTGAGCTCAGTCAATGTAAATTCTTGGCTACATGTGAAACACTATAAACTTGAGCAATATTCAGACTGAGAGCACCGTTATTGCAGGTGCTTGTGCTTTCTAAAAAAGATCAGTCTGTTAAAGTGCCTGTCTGTGGTTTCAGATGGCTAAATTTGGACAGCCCATGTCTGGCCAATTAACTAGTCAGTCAAGGAGGAAAAACCCCAGCTCTCAAACAAATGATCTTTAGATTCTTCACATATAGGCAAGCCAGCATTTCCTGTCCTGTGTATCTTCAAAAGCAGGTTTAATAATAGGGGAAAAATTGTTTACAGTCACAGAGGAAGTACCTGCAAGTCCCAGGAGCACACTTTGCGTTCCTATTAGACTGCAGATGTCCACATACTTACCACGCTAGGTACTGTAACTGTCAGGGTGCAAAAATTCAACTTAGTATTGCACCACCCTTCATACCTAGAAAATCACAAAGCCCTTCAATTAACATTTAATACCAGTTCAAATTCCAAAAACTTGCCAAGGTAAACTAAGACCCACAGGACAGCATCAGCATTTCTGTAGGCACTAACCTGATGGACACAGATATTACACTTGTCACAAAAAACCATGTCATTCCCATCTTCACTGTCAGGGGACCGGCACACATCACAGATGACATCTTCATCATATTCAATACCCAATCCTTCTTCAGTCTCAATAGCGTGATTCATGTTCTCATGACAGTGCCGTTCCAGTACTTCAATTGTCTTTTCCATTGTGTTTTCATCCAGGGGTCCACATCCTGCAATGCAGAATAAGGAAGGGGAATTAGAGGACAGTCAAGTGCCCCTGACTGAGTCCCAGATGCAGGAAAAGAGAAAGACAACTTCTAGCAACTAAAGCAGTAGACATAGCATCTTCTCTCCCATCATGCATTCTAAAAATAAAATAAAAATAGAAAACTTTTTTATACTTACTGGCTAACTGTAGCATTATTTTATAAATACAAGTAGAACTACTACTGGAGTAAAAGTTTAAGTTGTTTGTAAAACACAAGACTGCACCTTGAAGAAAACACTACAGCATAAAAAGACAGACAGCACTTTCTGTAACTGCTAGCTGCACCCGTACAACCCTCCCTCCACCTTCATCACTTTAAAAGACATTAATGACATCCAAAAACCACTCAACAATGTTCTTTCAAAATTACACCCAATGTTCTTCTGAAGACTAACTCCCTAGGAAATAAAATTTATCAAGTAGATCTTATAAGTTGCCACCACTCAGTACCATCCAGTACACTACTTGAGTGATCAGTGTGATGGATATAAAAAGTGCTTTTATTGTTCTGTGGTGGTTTTTTTTAAATAAAATAATAGATATATATACACTGTCAGCAATCATAGAATGGTTAGGGTTGGAATTATTTGTTCACTTGAACACTACACATGCTATATACGCTTACCACTAATCAAACTTAGCGTAAGCAAAACCACTTAAAAAGGATTTGTTATGAGACTGGTCCTCAGCTTGCAGCTTCAGGACATACGCTGCATAAGAAATCCTACGATTTTCACAGCTACAAGAAATCTCCAAACTGCATCCTCTCAAAATCTCCAGTCAAAAATGGCGATGCTGCCCATAGTTCAGTATTTACTCAGACCTTCAACGGGTGGGATGTTCATGTAATGTTAATATCAGAGGCTAACGTTTTAACTGCTGGACTATGCACAAGAATATGGCTACTACTTTTGATTCCTCGTTGCAACCGATAAACAGGGAGATGGAAAAGATAAATGACTGATGCAAAGTACCTTCTGCTATTAAACCGTTCTCTCCAATGCCCAGATATTTTCTTACTCCCTGAATTAAAGGAATTACAGAATCATTGAGGTGGGAAGGGACCTTCAGAGGGCTCCAGCTCAGTCTGTGGCTACAGCAGAGCCAACAGTGAATCCAGATAAGGTTGCTGCTCAAGAGATATGTCTAGTTCAATCTTGAAAATCTCCATGGATGGAGATCTGCCCCACAGAAAAGCTTTGGTTTAGCTAACAGCATCCCTGTATGCCTGGAAAGCTTGTCCTTGCTTCTACCTCTTACATACATCGTTTGGCACTGGAGCTTAGTCATGAGTTCCCTCCTTCACCAAGCCAGTCTCCTAACACATCTACTTGCTTTCCTGAACGTCTGGATGGATCTTTCTTGTGCTTGGAGAAGACTGTCCTTAAAGTCCTGCTAGCTCTCTTCAGCATTTCCACTCTTCAGAGCTGCCTCCCAGATCCCACCTACCAGCTAACCGAGTAAGTAGAAACCTGCTGTCCTGAAGTCCAGGACTAGAAGGCTAGCTCCTTTCCTCGCTCCCCTCAGGATCTCAGTCACCACTACTTCACAGCTACTAAAGCCAATGCCACCATCAGCTATCATGGCCCTACAGGTTCTTCCTTGTCTGTGAACAGCAAATCCAGGAGATATTTGGTATTTCCCTTTTTTGCCCACCTGTCCTTCCTAAAGGACCTGTGATCATCCATGGAAGAATGCCAGGCACATAGGCTATTCCACCACAACTCAGTTATTCCAGTGATAATTCCAAGATTATTTTCCACAGCTTGTTCCCCCTCATAGCCCTCTAGACCCACAGCTTGCATGGAAAAGAGAAAGTCTACTTAGTTGATTTTAAATGGGCTAACATGTGTGAAACTTAATGACTCTGTTAAGAACCCAGCATGCAAGCTTCTCCGAACTCTGAATTTGTAGCAATAATATGTTAAAGTCTAAGAAATGGAAACATCTGCTTTTCCTACATAAAATTTTTAACTTTTGAAGTCGTAAAATTAATTCCACGTGGTGTGGGCCTTTTCTCTCCTGTCTCAGTCTGCAGAAGTTGCATATGATTTTGGATGTGAAGAAGTTTTTAGGCACAACAGGTAAAACATAAAACATTAACAGATTGAGCAAGGCATTAGTTTAAGCATTTTTACATTCTGTTTTTCTTAGCATTTCAATTCGATTCTCATTCAGTGACCTTTAAGAGATCTCACACAGTACACTATGGCTCAAACAGCAGAAATGAACTGCTGCTTTTAAAATCAGAACGTGTTGTGAAATTACCCATTTCTGTAAGCTCTTCATTCAGCTCCTGAAGCCAAAAGATGTCCATGTCATCCAAGTCATAGCGACACACAGATTCTGCCAATTCCAAGATGTTGATGTAACCTGGTTCTGTGGGCTCTTGGCTGGAACAGTGGATGTATTTCCTGGGTCGTGTATACAGTACTTCTTTCACCTTTTCTGCTACAACCCTAGAGTGAAAGTAAAAAAAGAAATAGAGAGCCACAGCTTTTTAAGTCCTTGCAAGACATGAAGTATTTGCTATTGCATGCAAAGAAACCTAGTGTTTTACAGATTTTAAACTAGCCGTTAAGTACAGCCAGCCTAGGGAGACAGGATTCTGTAAATGTCATTTCTTCACACAAAATGTGCTAAGGTTTGCTACGTATACAGAATCCTTTTTAAAATGTAAGCCTGTGCATACGATTTGCAATTTAACAAATGCTACTAGTGCAATGATGCAAGTGTTTTTGAAACCCGCAGAAAGTATCATGCACAAAAATCCCTACAATCTTTGATCTATATTCTTCTTAAATGATAGAAGGAAATCTTGTCAACTGATTTCTTGAAAATATCAACTTTTTCAGAAAAGCTTGATTTATTCTACTGTGTGGGAAGAGGGGAGGAGAAATGCTTGTTCTTTATTTGGGATAAACAGTCTACCCTTATTTTGCAAATGACACTTTATCCATGTTACAAATGTATTGGTTTTGTTATGTAAGAACTATTCTGATGCCAAGCAAAAACGTAAAGGGGAAAAACAGCTAAAAATCATCCAGGAAGCAAGGGAGAAAAATATTGGTGTTTTCAATCTTTCAATTATTTTAAGAGATAAAACTCAGTGTTTTATTAGTGAGCTAGCCTATGGGAATGGAAAGACTGACCTTAGCTAGATAAAGTCAATCTTTCTCTGAATTCAACGCAAGAGGCCCTGCATGTGAAAGGAAGCCAGGGAGATACTGAATGGAACGGTGCCATGTGTGAGCAGCTCTGCATGCTTTCCGGAGCTAACCCTTCTCAGGACAAGAGGAAAAGAAAAGCTGCGGGAAATAAGGCAAGAGGAGTAAAGAAGAAGCAGGCAGTAGTTGAGCAGTATCCCACATAATTCTTACTGGACAATGTGGGTTGTCAATGCTAGCAGAAACAATGTTGTTCTGTCATTCTTCCTCTCCCTTCATCTTGCTCATTTTTCCCTCTCGTTCCCTTGTGAGCTTTTCTTTTCTCTGGTCCAGCCAAATCTATAGCAATTTTTTCCTCTAATGTAATACTGCTGGTATGAGATGCAATATATTTATTTTTAATAACTTGGTACTGACAATAGCCCCAGTGGAAATTAAATTATGCTGGCATCAGCGCTTTCACTGGACAATTCATTTATCTTCATCTTGAAGACCATGGTGGCAATAACATTTCTATGTTGAAACACACTCTGTTTCCACCAGGAAGGGTTGCAGGACTACACTGTTATGTTTTCCCAGTTTAAGCACAGTGTGAGAATATGAAAGGTTATTTATCTATCTCCCGAAACTGACATCACTGAAGTTCTATAATGTTAAGCAGCTATTTGTGGTGAGAGAAGGCAGAAAGGGTTAAAGCTTTGGCAACAAGAACCAAAATTAAATTATTTGAACAAGTGAGTAACTTTATCAGGTATCAGTAACTACTGCATGCCTGCTGCTCTACATCATCATGCTTTATAGGAAAGTCTTTCAAGTAACATATATAAGATTTGGGTTTATTTTTAATTTATTAAACTCACCATGCTCAAATAAGAAAACAGTTTTTTAATCCATAGCACCAAGAGATTCAGGAAGAAAGATTCCCTTTTAAAACTCACAATGTAGACATTATAATGGTGTATAGACAGAACCAGATCTGAACTGAAGCACCACAGAAATGTTTTCCATATTGGTACGTGTTTGGTTTAAGAACATGCCTGAAGGCTGCTGCATTGGAGGTTTAAATATAATAACACAGAAAAGCTGACTGCATTTAGGCAACCTACGTTTGAGAGACCACGTTCTCTAAGTTGACGTTTTCTGCACACAATTTGGGTCTGATCACCATTACCTGAGAGAAGGTTGTGGAATAGTGTCTGGACTGGCTGGAACTTGAACCCCTTTCTCCCATTCTTGTTTCCACGTGTCCGCAAAGATATAATATTCATCAGGATTGACATGGTGAGAATCTGGTAGTTTCATGGCACTAATGAGATCCTTGCGGAACACCTGCAAGAAACACCAGGGAAAAAGAGTGGCTTGAGAAAGCGTGTTGCACTAAAGGAAGCTGCAGGTATTTTCTTGATCTACACTGAAACAATGAATACACCTTGAAATTTTTTTTTTTAAATAGTACCAACACACAAACAAGTCAATTTGAAATTACCTAGATTATTAACTCTTGGTGTATTAGGTGCAGTATGACAAGTTAATGCTAATACAAAACAATGTTGCAGCCTGAAGGCTAATCAGAAGGAAGAAAGCTGTTACAGGTGACCAGCGAGAGGGGAAAGGAGGCCTGCATCTCATGTAGAACTCCTCCATCATATCAAACTGCTCATTCTATTTGCCAGTCTGTAGGCTTTACCCCAACTTAGATACAAGGTAGCATATCCTTTTCTTTCACTCAGCTTAGCTACTTTAAACTGTCATAGTCATCACCGGCTACGAACAGTTGCCATGGCAAAACTGATGTATAGGCACTTGTTCATTTATCAAAACCACTTGAAATTTTACTGGTCCGGATCTCCAGGATCCAAGATGAACAGCTGCCTTTGCTGAAACATGAGATCTGTGTTGCTCTGTGCCTGAACCCCTGCGATATAGGCACAGCAAGGCAATCCAGCCTCAGCATCCTTAGCAAACCCATACAATGAAACGTGCCACCATGGAACAATGCAAACCCACCAGTGACAAAACTCCAGCCATAACATTCAACTCTTGGCTCAAGAAGATTAAGATTTTATGAGCAAGCAAACATGATTATTAATCATTTCAAAGCTAACTTAATGACAATGTCTGTCAAATACAGGTGCATACGATTTAAATAGAGCATGTGCATCCTTTGTGGTTTTTTTCCTCCACTGCTACACTGCATCAATTTAATACTCATAAAGGCAAACCAGTGACTGTGGCTTGGTGTTAGGGAGACATCACAACTAATTAACTGTATTATCATAACGAGAAATCAAATCCTCAAAGGGCAATAAAATGAAATGGGAAATATCCCTGCAATAAGCCGTGGCAGGTTGAACTCTCTTCTTACTAATTCAGTTTTATAGCCAGAAGAGTAATAAAATATCTCAGAGCCAAATATCTTCGTGTACCCTTTTCAATTTGACAGCACCAGACCGGTTATGCCTACTGCAAAAATTCTCAGCTGTTCTTGAAAATCATCAAGTAAACATTATTAAAAAGGCTCTGTGCTAAAACCAGGTAGTGAAATAGGCTGCTTGTGACCTGGTACATCAGTGTTACTTCATTATGTCCTACAACCACATCTCACGTGGGCTGCCGGGAGAGCAGGCTGACCAGAGAAACTGAAAACCACAGACTCAAGGTTCTCATATTTGCTACTGATGTGTTATCTGCTTATCTGGTTCAGACCAGACTGTTCACTGCTGTCTTCTGCGTAGAACTCCTCAGGTACCTAACAGGCCTCTTAAAAGCTGAATGACAAGAGTGAAAGCATTAAGACACCAAGCATCCGTTTTTTCCAAGCAGTGTGTGGACATATCAAAAATAAACTGTAAAATTATTTATGCCACTTAAAAGGCATTTTCATTTTCTGTGTTATAGGTACAGAACCAGGATTATGAGAAATACTAACATGGCACGATTCCACAGAACCTCAGAAGGAAAAAATAATCCAATAAATGAGAAGTGCAACAACTGGTTTAATTATCAGAAAAGATATTCCTCAAACCTTATCTGAGGTAAGTGCTTTACAAGCTATCTTTTAAGCCACTGACAGAATACAGACGTAGAGTGCTTCATATCAAGCCCACTATTTTTTAAATACTAGATGAAAAATGCTATTAAAAGACATCAGTATTCTAACAACATTGCTTAGCAGCAAATTCATCTTCTGATCATCCATTATGTATGTGAACTGTATCATCTCTATTTTTAGAGCACAAATCCCCTCGAGCATGGACTTTCTCTGTTGGTTTTTTTTGACTGTTGTACAGTACCAACCCCACCATCACCAGGCCACAACATTAAGTTCTCTGCTTCAGGCTTCTATAATTTACAATAGAGGTACCACTGAAGTCAAAGATGTAACCAACATAAACGTAACTGTTGAAACCTGAAGGAACCCCAAAACTTGATCAAGACTTCCTAAGAACTGCTTATTCATACTGATGATAGCAGTGCAATCGAGTACTTCCTGCAGATGCTTGGAATCATTACAACCTCTAGCTCTCGTCATTCTTCATTTCTTCACATGAGGCCAAGCAGCATCTTCCAGCAGTAAAATACTCTCAGAGGACAACGGCACACCTTGATCACTCACTCTATATTTGCTTTGTTGTGGAAGTAAACCAAAAGACCCAGGGGACCCAAAGAGAGGTTTCTGACAAACCGAGTAAATTTTATTTCAGCAGTCAGCCTCAAGGCTGTGAACTAAGCCAGCTCAACAAAGAGCAGACACACGCCTTCAGTGATTAGAGAGCCAGTTTTTCCTTGTGGTTGTTTCTTTTTGGACACTTGTTTGAAAAACAAGGCAGTTCCTTTACTGACTGTATTCGTAAAGCAACAGCGAGTCCACTCCAAAGCACATACTCTCCTCTTGGCAAGGACCACCTTCACTTCCACAGTCAGCCCATGAAGTGCAGTGGTCATCTTTCAGTCATCCAAAAGCAGTTCTATTTCTTACCATACATAAACCACAACCCTTTAAATGTATTTTAATATCACCTGTAATATACTACATTTCAAGAAGACCTGAAAAATGAGCACGCCAGTTCTAGGCTAATAAGACACATCACTCCAAGAGCAGACTCAGCGAGTGCTGCGTGTCTTTACCACGATAGAAAAGACCTTTGCAGAGCTGAGCTACAACCAATTGCAGCTGGCAGAGCCAGGTCCGTACACACAGAACTGGGAAACTCCCCACCACTGCGAGCATTTGCAGAAGTTACTGTCTGACAGCGGGATTTAAAAATAAATAATTTTTTAGCAATTGAAAGTGTGAAAGAAGAGATCAGCTTTAGCCCTGCTTACCATGCAAGATTGCTAGGTCTGAACTTGCCTTTTCGTTTCACTGCCAGGAATTTTTAGTTTCAGCCGAAAATGGTGCAGCACTTTGAGTGAATGATGTCAACGAAAAATGTGTTTGCTTATGTAATCATTATCGTCATAATCTTAAACATTTTGCTGAGAAACACTAATAATTATTTCCCGCTTTAGAGCTGGGGCTTAAATCTAGAAGAGGAGACTTTGTTTTTTGGTCAAGATTAGTTTTTTGCTCTGCAGTAAGAGTCTGCCTGGATTTGCTGAAGCAATGAGAACCTCCTAGTCACTTTTGCAGAGATGCACTGCCATCTCTAAAGCCTCTAAAAGGTAAATTCTACAAAAATTCTCCAGAAATAAGGATGCTCTGCTCCCCCACAACACTAGCACACCAAGCAATAGTGATATCATGGAGCTGTGGAAGGAAAGATATGGTTCATATGTTTTATTTGTTTTTCAGACTTCTGAGTCCTATCTGGAAATTATGTTGAAAGAGCATGTCCAAGGAAAATTAAATTCTTAGAATCCATTTATAAATGCTTCACCAAAAGCTGTCTATGACTTCAGCCCAAGCTCCTTCTGGAAGCACTCTATGAAAATTCAATATATAATCTTCCTCACAGGACCCTCCTATGCTTACTCTGTGAATAAATCAAGCCTGTGAAACTAAGAACACCATTTTGTGTGAAGCATCCTTATCCAGTGAAGATATCAGGAAGGACAGAAGTAATGCCATAGAGAATTACAGTAAACTATTAGCATCAAAGACAGAGTGGGTCTTGACAATACAACAGCCTTCTACAAACCCCATCTTCCCTGAACAGTTCAAACACCAGATCTGCACAGACTGTCAGGCATCTTTTGTTCATGACCATTGCAAGCCTAAAACCACATTTAAAAAAAAAAAGTCAAATACCTTTTCCAACACCCCTCTGCAAGCTACTACCAAAGCTGACTGATGCCATTGCTCATTCACCTTGTCTTGCCCAAATGCGTATGAGGTAAACCAAATGGATTGTGTCATCTCTTAAAAATGGAAAGAAAAACGGTATTTCTTCTTGTGACACTTTCCGAGCTTTCAGGTACTTTGACCACCTTCCTATAAACCCCCAACAAGGCTAAGCTGCTTGTCACAGGCACCTAGGCCATGTCTGGCCACCACACCTCAAAGGATTACGTAAATTATGGGTTAACTGCTCTGTTGTTACAATCAAAGTGGGATTACTGCTGGATTCCATCTAATTGCTCCAGTCCTAACATTTCCCCTGTGCCTGGCAGAGCCCTGAGTGAGTCAGCAACACGTGTGTCGACTCCTCGTGCCCACCACTTAGAGTCAGAAGACCCACTGCCCCAGAAACACAGAGCTGTGATTTTTAAAAGGCAGGAGAGAGCTACTATGTCCCTTCTTGTCCCCCTCCAAGAGTATATTCTCCGAAATCTTTTTCGGAAAACAGAGTGGAATAAGGGCCAATATCATGTCTAACCAGAGAAAGCTGAAATAGCTAGTAGTTTCCTGAATTTCTGGTCTCCTTCATAACCCATCTTGAAGGCTGACTTTGAAATTCCAGATGCCAAACACTCAAACTACAGTGAGCACTTTCTGTAAAGTAAGTTACACAAGAGTTTTACATCATGTTTGAGGTCAAATCATGTTTTTTTTCATTCACCTTTGAAAGGATCTAGTAACTTTTTTATTCCCATAAGCACCCATAGCATTAAACCTTACTCTACCATCGTAGGTCTCAAGTAGCACACTCCCAGCAAAATTTAAACACACTTATAAAGCAGTAGTTTACACCTAAAATCACCTTGTAAATAATAAAACAAAAGCCGAATCCTAATATGACCTGTTACAAGTGTAATATAGCCACATAGTATCCGAGCATAAATACTTTAATCTTTGTATAGATGTTTCACAGTACATGCAAAACACTGCTCATTTACAGAGGATGAGTATCTAAAGACAAGATTTGGTGGGCTCATCCTGGAGAGCT